TTTTTTTATATTATTTATTTTCTCCTTTTTAGTCCTGTATGAATAAAAGTTTGCAATAGATATTAAAATAATTCAACGATATTAATAGAAAGGTGCACACACATGCATTTACATATGTATGTACATACGAACGAGCACCAATTAATTTTATTTAAAGAATTGACGTGTCGTCTATTTCCGGTGTAGCAAACGTAGTACATAGGGCGACATCTAGATGTCATCTACCTCGCCCTATTCACTACAGCTATCGCCCTATGCACTACTTCACTACAGATGTCGCCCTATTCACTATGCTTTTTTATAGGAGCTTTTCAAAGCTTTGCTTTGTGGTGTCGGACACACAACATTGAAAGCTTCTGGATCCACAACATTGCAAGTTGATAAAAGCGTTGTAATAAAAAATTCTTGCCTTGATAATGGGTGCAGAGGGCAAAGCAGATCCACAGTTTGGCGACGCGGTGACACCACCAAGGTCAAGCAGCAACAACAACATTCGCGTTAAGGAGCTGCAACGAGAACAGTTATGCCGTCGAGTTGCTGATCTACGTGAAAACTTGCTTCACCTCAACGCCATGACACCCTCGCAACTCGAGACTAAGCTAGCGCTACTCGAGCATCATTTCACCACTTTTGAGCGCTTGCAATCAGAGCTGGAATTTCTAGATGACTCGCAATTTGAATTGGATCATCGCATCGTCTTCGAAGAGGCTTTTTGTGAGGTGAAAAGTGCCATCGTCGAACGTGATGGCCTCAGTAGCACCATAGTCCCAGCACCAAATTCTTCGTCGTCACCGCCAGCCCGGCATAGTTTGCCTAAGCTGCAGCTTACTAAATTTAGCGGCAAACATACTGAGTGGCTAGACTTCTACAACATGTTTAAAGTCCTTGTGCACAACAATGCTGGACTTGATGATATTGAGAAATTTCATTATCTGCGCTCTTGCTTAGTTGACAGCGCATTTCGCTTAATCCAGTCGTTGGAAGTTACGAACGAAAATTATCACCGTGCGGTGGAATTGCTTGTTAACCGCTATGACAATAAGCGGTATATTTTTCAATCACACCTGCAAGCTATCTTCGATAATGGGGCACTCAGTCACCCAACCGTCGTTTCTCTTCGGGAATTCATCGATTCCATTAACGCTCATCTACGTGCCATGCAGTCATTGGCATCGCGCAGTCAAATCGCTGACGGGATTTTACTCCATATCATCGTGGCAAAGTTGGATCATGAAATGCAGCTCAAATGGGAAGAAGAAGTGTCAGCCAAGTGGGACAATTCAGCAAATACGTCGCTCCAACTTCCATCGTGGGACGATCTAGCTTCGTTCATTGAGCTACGCTGCCAAACAGTTAACATGGTAAAGGCCAACAGAAGCGCATCGGGCGAGGTCACGGCAGCAAAAACCCCAGCCCATCGAGCAACAACAAATGCCCACTATGCGATGAGCTCGCCACACACAGTGCCTTCAAATGTGACAAATTCACCGCCATGGATCCAATGCAGATGTATGATCTTGGTAAGAAGAAAACCCTTTGCTTGAACTGTCTGAGTAAAGGCCACGTATCGAGCAAATGTCCATCAAACAATCGGTGCCAATACTGCAAGGTAATTCATCATTCTCTACTTCATCGTACTCCACCTTCCACGTCGTCTGCACAAGAGTCCACGCAAGCACAAGCAGTGGCGCTGCACGCTCATCGACCAGTTAATGACGTCATCCTTGCTACTGCAATAGTGCAACTTCACAACAATCGTGGCACCTCGGTCATGGCTCGTGCGCTGCTTGACTCGGCATCTCAGTTAAACTTCGTTTCCAAGAGCATCGCCCAGATGCTGATGGCTTCTCGCACCAAAGTCGCCATGGAAATCAGTGGAATAGGAGCGCTACGAACTAAAGCAAAGTACATAGCTGTTGTCGGACTCAAATCCCTGCATACGGGTTTTTCATCGTTATTGGAAGCGGTTATCATGCCATCGATTTCATCGTCTCAGCCACGAACCACTATCGATATTGTTCGCTGGGGAATACCCAAAAACATAAATTTAGCCGACACCAGCTTTTATATCCCCGGTGCTATTGATCTGCTTCTTGGTGCGAGCG